GAAAAATCAAGGCTTTCACACAATGTTTGATGCAGCTCGTCAAAAAAAATTCACAAATGCTGAAAGAGAAGGAAAAGCAAGAGGCAACACAACAAGATGAAGACATGCAGAAAAAAAATATGAACAGTGTGATGTTTGATGAAGCACTCAGAAGAAACAGAGATGTTGAAAGAGAAGAAACATCTGGAAGAGACACAGAGAGAGATGCAGGATCTTCTCCACGACTTTGACAAGAAAAGTTCTGACTTTGAAGTATTTTATATTGAAGGAGAAAAACATTGGATTTGAGCAGGAGAAACAACTGGAGACAAAATGCACAGAAATTGAGTGCAGTACCCAAGAAATGGTGACCTAAAATACACATTTGCAAGGACTCTATGATAAAGTCAGTACACAAATACTGAAATGTGGGAGGAGAAACAATGTCAGGAGAAAAAACATAAAGACATGCTTGAAGAAATGCAGAGGAGACGTCAGAAATTACAAGCCATGCATGAGAAATTACAACTAAAAAATGAAAACATCAAAGAAAGCACAGGATAAGAATTATAAAGAACTGGAAGAAAAACAAAGAACTTCAAGAAAAGGACCAAGAGAAGCAAGAAGCACTGAAAGAACTGGAGAAACGGTCCCACACACTGGAGCTGCAGCATGAGGAACTTTTCAGTGAGATGACCAACCTCAGTACAGAACAAAGATCTGCAGGAACGGTGCCTGAAAAAGAAGAGAAAGTGCTTTGGGCTTTTCCGGAAGAAGACTCTGCTGCTTCGTCACTTCAGCCCCTGAGCCAAAAATCTCCTAACCCTAAAAGCTGTACCTGAGAAAGAACCCGGAAAACGGAGGTTTTCCATTTTCATTTTAAAAAATAATCCCGTCTACACGTAAACGCAAAAATGAAGCAAAAATGCTGCTAGGAACATGCCAAAGCAACAGGCGGCGATATATTCCTAACCGTGTAGAAATGTTGGCCAATCAGAAGTCTAGAAGCCTCGGTGGGAAATAGTAAACAAAGATGGGGCATAGAAGCAGAACCGAGTCGTATGTGTGGAGGGACAGTGTGTGTATATGTAAGCATTTAAACACTGCAGAGAGTACATTGATGGATTGATTGATTGGTAATTTATTTCAACATGTGAACAATATACAAGTACATTTAGAAAAGAAAATAAGAGAGAAAAAAATACTATACAAATTACATACAAAAAAACGTTCTGATTAATTTACACGTTGAAAAGGAGTGGGAAGAAGTAAACACTTATTTAATCCCACCCCTTTGCCATAAATTATCAGTTAATATTTAGTCAGCTTCCTTACTGATATAATTTGTAATAAAAATAGTGAACAGATTTCTGATATACTATATACTATAATATCACATCATGAGTTTTTTTGTGTTTGTTTTTAAATAGAGACATTTACTTAATTTAAATATTTTCCTTTTCTTTATAGTTCAAGAAGATCATATTTTTATAACTCTTTGCTTTAATTCCATATTCAGACTGTTCCATAGTTTCACTCCATGAACTGAAACACAAAAGCCTTTTCTTGTAGTACGTACCTTCATTGTTTTGAAGTTACAAAAACCCCTTAAATTATAACTTCCTTCTTTCAAAAAAAACATACTCTGAATATTACCTGGCAGTTCTTTATTTTTTGCTTTGAATAGAATTTGTGCTGTTTGGAATTTCACTATATCGTCAATTTTCAATATTTCAGACTGCAAAAATAGTGAGTTTGTATGTTCCCTATAACCTGCATTGTGGATGATTCGAATTGCTTTTTTTTGAAGAGTAAAAAGTGAATGTAATGTGGTTTTATAGTTATTGCCCCAGACCTCTGCACAATAGCTTAAGTATGGTGAAACCAGTGAACAGTATAGAATATGAAGTGATGACGTGACGAATCCTACTTCCGGGCCTAAAGTAGTCTGCGTTTAATATGGCTTTTGTGTTGTTAACATGTTTAATGTTTGTATTTTCTTCTATTTAATCTCAAAAAGCTCCTAAAACAGTCAGTGATCACTGTTGACCTCCCTCGGCTTTTATTACCGCTAATCATTTATTTAAGCTCAGTTTTTAAAACCTTAGGATGTAACTACAGCCCAGCCCATGCAGCAGTATATGAATGACTAACCTCGTATTGTGGATGGATTATCTCAGTTGTTCTCCTGGCTGAAGTTTGGTCCTTTTACAGCATCCTGCCATGCGATTACATTTGTTCCTGACCACCGAGAACACTCACGTTAACTTTTATCGAGTGGAAAAAAGTTAGCTTGTTTATATTATGCTAACATAGCTGTGTCGCTAGCGGTCACGTAGCACATCATTATATACCAGCTAGCCAAACTTCAGTAACCCTACAAACGTCACTGCTGTTTAGTTTTCTGTCTTCATTTATGTTGGAAGTGATAGCAGAGCTGTACGTTTTAATTTGTTTCCAAAACCCCGCAGTCAGGACATGCTATATTGTATTTAGATAGAAGCTAGCGAGCTAACTTCCTGCTAACTTCTAACTCCGTTAAATGTCATAAATTCCGTTTTCATGGATGCCTGGATGTTAAACTCAATTGTTACACCTGGTAGAGCAGAACGCTGATCATTTTATTAAAGATGAAAGACTTTAGACAGTTTTTCAACTCTCAGTAATGCCATAGTGATCGTTTGATATATGGACCTGCAGCGGAGTTTAGGCCCAGACACGGCTAGTGACGTCAGACTGAACAACGGATAGAATATGAAGTGATGTTCTGTCGAATACCTGTTTTGCCTTGTTTAGTATTGCAATGCTACGTGATACTTTGGAATGAATATATCTTACGTGAGCTCTCCAGTTAAGTTTTCATCTATTATTACTGTCATGGCACAGTGGCCCGTGGAAATGGGATGGACTCAAGTGCAGTTTCAAACCCGGAGGCCAGAGGTGTGGTGTAACGAAAAGAGTCTTTATTTACAATGCTCAGAGGCTAACAGAAATTTCAGACTAGAATTAAGGAACATAAACTAGACGTCTGAGGCGAGAGAAAATACTATGACTATGACTAAATGGCAGGGATAACTGGGTGCAGGGACTGGGCAAGGGAATCTGTGGCTGGCCAGGGCACTGAAACAGAGGAGAGAGCAGTCAGGGGAATCCCACAGAGAACTGCGAGTGAATCTGAGAAAAATACACTGAGCTGTCTTACAAGCTTGCAGGTGGAGGTTGCGTGGAGGAGGGAGGCAGGAGAGGTCCAGGTGGGTGCTGCGTGCAATGCAGGGAGGCAGGCAGGAGAGACTGGCAGTTTGAAAAAAGGGAGAGATTACCGGCGGCTGCAAACTTGTATCCAGGAGAGCTTGGTAGGTGGGTTTCAGATGCTGACGAGATAACAGAGGAAATAAGGTGTTTGTATCGTCAGCAAAGAGAACCATTTTTAATACTTTGGGCACTTAACAGATGTCATTAATGTACAAGTTGAAGAATTATGGACCCAAAACTGACCCTTGGGGTACACCACAAGCAATGTCCATACATAAGGAGCAACCACCATTTATTTTCACAAACTGCTTTCTGTCACTTAAATAACTCTGGACCCAATCTAAAACTACCCCTCTGACACCATAACATTCAATTAACAGTAACAGTATTATAGAAATTAATTTCACCGAAACAATAACGTGGTGCACAGTGTGATGTCAAAACACCTTTGACGCTGCGTTTTCTTCATCCACACGTAAATGCAAAAACTGAGTTTTCGAAAATATCCACCCTGGCAGGCATTTTAAAAAATCTCAGTTTTCAGCGACCGAAAACGCCATTTACGTGTGGACGAAAGGTGCAAACGCATAGAAAAATCTCCGTTTTCAAAAATACCCGGGTACGTGTGGACGTAGCCTAAGGCCATTACTGGTTAGCCTAAAAAACCACACCATTAGAGGTTAAAAATGTTAAAAATCCTGACTCTTTTTACACCTGTAAAAATGTTATATAGTAATATTCTTTTCCTTTTAAAATTACTTCAGCCTGAAATTTACAAATAAAAAAATGTATTTTTAACACTTTAAAGGCTAGTATGTTTAGATAGCTTGCTTTTTTTTATTTATAAAAATTTCCATAAAACACATTTCATAGATTTTATGATTATTGTTTTTTATTAGGCCCTAGATGGGTCAATGATTGGCAGCAACGTTGATTTTCGTGCAAATGTAAAACTAACATTCGTGATCTAAGGACAAAAAAAATGGCAGTTTCCACAAAACTGCCATTTTTACATTTACATCGTACTATTGTTTTCCACTTTAAATGACTCTGTCTTTTAAAACCTTTTCAGCCCGAACTATTATATCAAATATATTTTATAGTTTTGGGGTTTTAACCCTTTAAAGGCCTGTTTGTTTTTCTCTCAAAAAAATCTCCCAAAAAATATCATTAAAATTTGTAAACTACTACTATTAGTATAGTAAAGCATATGATTATTATTTTATTAGACCCTAAGATGAGTCAAGGATTGGCAGTAACATTGATTTTCATGTATTTTTATTTTTTCTGATACATCAAATTTAAAATTAAACTGGTATTCGTGATCCTGAGGACCAATAAATGGTAGTTTAAAATAAAACTGCTGTAAAAATGTTACATTGCACTATTTTTTTCCACTTTGAATGACTCAGTCTTTTAAAATGCTTTCAGCCTTAACTAGAAATATCAAATAGTATTTATAGTTTGGAGGTTTTAACCCTTTGAAGGCCACTATGTTTACATAAATTCATTGTTTTGTATATAAATTTTTTTCCCCATAAAATACATTTCATAGGTTTTATGATTATTAGTTTTATTAGACCTAAGATAGGATAGGTCAGTGATTGGCAACAATAATAATTTTCATACATTTACATTTTTTTCTGTTATGTCAAATTTAAAATAAAACTGATATTTGTGGTCCTAAAGACAAAAAAATGGCTGTTAACACAAAACTGCTGTAAAAATATTACATCGTACTATTTTTTTCCACTGTAAATGACTCGGTCTTCTTTTTTTTTTAAACAACTCCCAAATAATGTCATTAAAATTTGTAAACTACTACTATTAGGATAATAATATATATGATTATTATTTTATTAGATCCTGAGATGGGTCAAGGATTGGCAGTAACATTGATTTTTATGCATTTTTATTTTTTGTGTTATGTCAAATTTAAAATAAAACTGGCATTCATGATCCTGTTGACCAATAAATGGTAGTTTCCACAAAACTGCTATAAAAGTATTATATCGTACTATTTTTTTCCAATTTAAATGACTCAGTCTTTAAAGCCCTTTCAGCTTGAACTATAAATATCAAATAGTATTTATAGTTTGGGGGTTTTAACCCTTTAAAGGCCTAGGGTTTGTTTTTTTTACTCAAAAAAAAAAAAACTCCCAAAAATGTCATTAAAATTTGTAAACTACTACTATTAGTATAGTAAAGTATATGATTATTGTTTTATTAGACCCTAAGATGGGTTAAAGATTGGCAGCAACATTGATTTTCAATGCATTTTTATTTTTTCTGTTACGTCAAATTTAAAATAAAACTGGCATTCGTGATCCTAAGGACCAAAAGATAGTAGTTTCTACAAAACTGTCAAATTTAAAACAAAAGTACTGTAAAAATATAGCAATAATTTTTTTTTACTTTAAATGAGTGTCTCTTACAACAATTTCAGCCGGTTGAACCATAAACATCAACTAGTGTGTATATTTTTTGATTTTCAACCTTTTAAAGCCCCCCCCCCCCTTAATTGTGCCAGACCACATTCTGAATCAATACCATGGGCATTTTTATATTTCAACACAAGTGTTATTAGCCCTCTGTGGTCAATGGACACACCACACCTCCAAATCACGTGACCGGTTTAAGATGCTAGCAGCTTGTTGCTGTTTTTAAGCTCAGTTTTTATGTTTTTGTGTGATTTCAGTGTAACAATTTAATTATTTCTAATAAAACGAGTGTGAAACTTCTTGGGTTTGAACCAAATGAATTCCCCCATTTTGTGTAGCTTTCTGGATTTTATGTTAATTGGGCTACACACTTATTTATTATCTAGGCTGTACAGTACATAAAATCAAAATTCATATCTTTTATGTAACTGAAATGTTTAACTATCTGGGCTAAATGACATAAAGTTATAGACTATATTTATTTGAAATGTGTATACTTACTGCATTTGGTGTTTTTTAACCACATATAATGCCTATTGCAGGACGTAATACCAGCGTGTAAAAACATGGCTTTGCCACCCCATTTGATTTTAATTACCACCCTTATGCCACCTAAAGAAAATTTCTTTAGATCTGCCCGTTTCCTTGTGAAATCCAAACACCCAAACAAACTTCACACTGCCATACTTTAGAGCTCGAAATTTGAGGCTTGTGTCAAGAAGGGCATTTAGTGTAAAGTTGTTGGGGAATTTTTTGAAATGGGTTCTGATGTTATCATTTCTAAGTAACTAGTGAAAATTATACTTCCAGAAATCCGATGAATATATGCTGTGCCATTCTATGCCTATCAGTACAGGAAAAAATATTCAATAAAAATGCCAATTCACAACAAAAGTCAGCTGAAGGCACTAAACCCCCAACAATCAAGTGACCCCCTGCGCAAGCATTTTGCGACATTGGAAAGGAAAAGCTACCCTTTACAGGGGCAGCCATCTACTGCAACCAGTTGGGGGGAGGGAAGGGAATGATTAGACTGTGACAGTGTTAGTGACATAACACACTGATTCAGTATTAGCTTTACTGACCTCATTACTGCAGATATGAATTTTAACAGTGTATCATTTTCATTAGCCAAAAGTTATAAATTTGGTGAAGTGAGGCACTCGTGTCACGTTAAAAAAATCACGTGTTACTCTGCTTGTCCTCTTGCTTTTCTGCAGCGGTGGTCCTCACCCCGACTGTCATTGAAGGTGTTAACAGAGATATTCATATTTGGCTCTGGCCAAATCAGAAACAAGATTTATGTTTTACAACATATTAAAAATCAAAGGTTAGAAAATAAGAAATATGCTAATAAGTTTAAAGACTGGTATACAGGATTAACCAGAGCAGTGGTGAAGTGGTACCGTGAGATTCCAGTGGTATTTGCGACAGGAATTTAACTCTCTGCAGAAAAACTGGACACTCTTTTGCCCAGAGTCTAACATTTTCTTTGGGGGTTGTCCTTGGGTGTCGATAATGTATCTCAGCTGAGAGGACAGCAGAATATTTAATCAAACTGGGAGTCAAACACAGACTTTTAAGTGACATACAATTGTTGTCAATCATTTCAATAAAGCTTGAAATTTTGTCAGCCATTCTGACACATTTTGCAACTGTGCCATAAGACCCTTCTCCAAGGAGAGTTCAAATCTGGTACTTGGAGGATCTGGAGGTGAATCAGCCTCTAGGGACTAACTTGTCCTGGGAATTGTTGGAAGACATGTCTGATGCCATCACAGGGATTAACACTAAAAGTTTGTTGTCAGTCATTTCAATAAAGCTTGAAATCAAGTTCTTCAGAAGAAATACAAAGCAGCATTTAGTCATATTGTTTTACTTATTCACTGTATCCAGGGTACAGCAAGAAACCAGTGCCATTCAGCCCAGAGACCATACGTCTATGGCTTCTGTAAACGGAAGCCCTGGAATAATCTCCGGAGACCTGGTGGATGACAAAGAGAAATGATTGTTACATTTTTTCTTATTATTGACCATTTGGATAAGTATGATTTGTACTACAGCTGACAAACACATAACAGAAAGCACAAACACTGGATTTTGTGTCATATTGCGAGGAAGAGATTAAATTTGATTCCAGCTACTTGCCGGTACGGATGGGTCTGAATGTAAGAGCCCACTTTAGCAGCTGAGTTGTCACAGGCCAGGCCAAAGTCAATTACTTTAATTCGGTACGGCTCTTGGTGATGTTTCACCAACATTTCGTTTTCTAATTTCAAGTCTGCGTGTGCTGTTCCAATAGACTTGAGGTGACTAAGAGCAGTTGCAATCTGAAAAGTATCAAAGAATATGTCATGTTATGATCAAATTTGATCAGTATCCATGTTCAAAGCATTTATTAATGTAGAGAATCATGGAGTTAAACATACCTGCATGACAATGGGACGAACTGCCTTGAAACTGTCTGCAAAAGCTTGGTACCAATCAAGTATAGTGTGTCTGTTGGAGTTACAGGTGTTAAGTTTTCACAGGGCAGTGAGCTAGAATAGGTTACAAATTACGGAGCCCCCCAGGGGACATGGGAGAAAAAAAAATTAGGGACGAAAAAAAAAAA